CCTTGACCACGTTTGCTCAATCTGTAACAGCCTTATTCCACCGTAACAGGATTTTCTCCATACATTATTACATAAAGACTGCACTTCATTATGTGATTTTAATTGATAGAGGCTCAATGAAAGGGATGTGGAAAATACGAGTCACGTTGGCAGACAGAAAACAAATTAACCATTTTAATGGAAGAACTACTTCACTGATTGTTCAAATTATGCACTGCAGGGAACAATTGCACATTACAACAACTTGGTGAAATTGGGCATTGAACTACTGCAATAATTATATGGCTACAATAATGGGGGTGAAAAGTGCATAAGAAGCAGCCTATAGGTTACATGTTGGGTAACAAAAGTTGCTTAGAATTTACAATCAAGTTCTGCAATAGCCGCAATTTTAAGAAAAAGAAGGGATTGATTTCCGTTCCTACATCTGCACAATTCATTGAGCAAAGGGGTCACAGAAGTTCTCAATTGCCATTTGAGTTGATCAATGCAGACGAGCTCATGCTGATAGATTAGTTGGGCACTCAAGCTTCCATAGGCTTCCAAACTAAACAATCGAGGGTGTCAAGAAGGCATCAGGGTGGAAAAAAAAAATATATATATATATACCTTGGACTTTTCTGTGTTAAATAATTACATAGTGTCAAAGGGATAACTACACTGAATAATGGAACAAAATAGATTAGCCTTATTTCTGCTATGACTGCTTCCAAAGCAATCATTAGCTCCGTACTGACTATTGTACTTACCTAACCTTATCCATGTATTCAATGAAGCAAATCGTGAGCAATTTACAAGTAGGTAGTTACTTGCTATAATATGTTCCAAAAAATGTAACAATTTATCATTTCCTTTCTAAACCAACCAAATCTGGACTGGAGTATGTGCCTGTTTTATGCACAGAGCCTGGCAATTTCAAAGTGTCTGAACCGTAGAGTAACAACATTCTTATAATTATACTGCAAGCTATTACATGTGAAATGTAATAGTAACAGATTATAAATGTAACAGCTTATATTCTCAAAATATTCCACACCATCCTCATCACTAAACAATTACATAATATCTATAAAGATGATTTCAGTATCTATTTTTCCAACATAAATCAATGAACTTTCATGATCATGTGTCATCAGATACATTCTTTTACCTGATTTCATTTGGTTTTAACAGGTCTGTGAAAGATTGCAGACGCCTGTCGACTTATATGGCCATTGGTTTTAACAAGCTGAGTCACATAGTATTAAGAAAAAAAAAAAAAATTCACATGTTTGAATTTATGGTTTGAAGTGAAGGATGACACTTTTTCACATACAAAGGTTATGCTCACAGCGGCCAGAGGCATTTGACCTCTTAACCTCATTGGTGTTGGTTATGTCTCTTTTGTGGAACAGAATAAGAGAGCTCAGTCTTGTCCATCTGCACATACTTGATGTTTCTTACACATCAAACCTTAAATGATGCAGTTTAATGTGTGTTTTTTTTCTTGTTTGTGCATTTCTATGTAACATTTATTCATACTAATAAAGATGGATAACATGTATTAAATACCAAAACAAATGGACAACATATTACCTAAATAGTAAAGGGCACATAGAGAACATGGTTTTGAAAGCTCTAACTGGAGAACAATAGATTAATTACAAAACCAAAACAACAAACTCTAAAATGCTTATCTCAACCTACCTTGTGGGCTGCACAAAGTGGGTTGTGCCTCACCTGTCCTTGTTCTACAACCGCCTTGGGCCTAGGTTTATAGGAGGAATTTCTACTTCCGGGTTAAAATCAGGATTGAGGTGATTTTATAAGATCACGGCCCCACAACCTCTGGTGACCGGAGGGCCTGCATAAGCACAGTTGTTAGATATCTGGAACACCCACATAATGTGGCGTAAGCAATGACATGAATCAGAGAAATGTAACAAAACAAATACTCAACTTTGTGGTTTGTAGAGGAAGGTCTTTATATGCATATATTATGGACAGGAGTTCAAATTGAAGCGGCACATGCGGTCCGTTCAATCCGAGACTCTCACAAATATTTACAAATGCTGCTTATATAGCTTAGGTTGGCCGGGAGGAGTTAAGAAATGTTCTCCGTAATTTCCTTTTTTGGATACACAGTTCAACTTGCATTGACTTGACCAGTTGGATGATGTATGTTGTCTGTCTTTCACGGTCTGTCTCCATGCTTCTGTGTCAGCATTGCGATCCGCTATTTTTGTGAATACCTCTGTGTCTGTATTTAGTTCCCTGACCCGACAGTGAACCAACATGTTCAGAAAAAACATACTTACACGGGTGGATCATCAAGACTATTGGTCCTCCCAATTCTCAATCATTCTGGTGGTACGTGCTCATCAAATAAGACCAGAGAGATTTGTTCAAATAGTTGAGAGGGTGGTTTGTTTCTAAAATTTGGGGAAATCCTCCTATATATCTTTGAATTCTGGATCTATAAAGGGATTAAGAGTTCCGAGCTTCCGGCTCGACCGCACGGCATTGTGGGTAGTTTTCACAAAAAAGTGGGCATCAAATCACGCTCTCTTATTAGATTACCTGTTGCGAGCGTGATCTGTCTCTCTTTTTTCTACAAAAAAGTTTTGCTACAAAAATCACCAATTTCAGACATTTTGAAGGTAAGGTAAAGATTTTTTCATGTAACAAAAAAGCAATGCATTTTTCTTGTGGTTTTAGATGTAAACACAACCAACTGACGATAGAGCTACACGCAGCTTATGCTACCTACGAGGATCGAATGCTTACACGCGAGCTTTATAAACTTACCAAAAGCTGTACTTTGGACATATTTGTCTGGTGTGGAGCTTCTGAAAGTAGAGAATACCTGGGGCATGTAATCAGGAGTGACCTCAGTGATAACGATGACATTCAGAGGCAGCACTGTAAGCTGTTTGGACAGGCTAACATTTAAGCATGGAGATTTCACATGTGTACAGATAAAGTGAAAATAACTTTGTTTAAAGCCTACTGCACAACTTTCTATACTGCCAGCTCACTGTTTGTTCTTAATAATGTTCCCACTCTGAATGCTCTGATCAGAAATGTTATTTATAAGTTCATGAAACGCTCTGAGGGCTCTATGTCCAAAGAACAGCTTTGGGTAAGTTTATAAAGCTTGTGTGTAAGCATTCGATCCTCATAAGTAGATTATGAATGAAAACCTCCTTCCATCAGCAAGGGCATTGAACGTGGCTGGGTCTTTCAGCATGACAAGGATCCCAAACTCACCGCCTGGGCAACAAAGGAGTGGCTGCAAAAGAAGCATTATAAGGTCCTCGAGTAGCCTAACCAGTCTCCAGATCTCAACCCCATAGAGAATCTTTGGAGGGAGTTGAAAGTCTGTGTTGCTCAGAGACATCAAAACATCACTGCTCAAGAGGAAATCTGCATGGAGGAATGGGCCTAAATACCAGCAGCAGTGTGTAAAAACCTTGTGAAGACTACAGAAAATGTTTGAGCTCTGTCATTAACAACAAATGGTATTTTACAAAGTATTCAGATGAACTTGTGGTATTGACCAAATACTTACTGTATTACTTATCCTCCATAATTTGCAAATAAATTCTTGTGATTTTTTTTTTCTCATTCACCTACGATGAAAATTACAGGCCACCCTCAGCTTTGCAGGAACATGAAAACACTTTTTCCCCACTGTACATGTTTAATTTTCATTTATTTTCTTATTGTAAAAACCAGCGACTCTGAAGAAATCTACTACTACTTCTACTACTTCTTATAATGAGACAGTCTGATAGTGATCATGCGACCAGCACAATAGTGCCTCTGCTGGATAGGGAAGGGTATTATTTTGAAAGTGCCAGGCATTCAAGATACTGCGACAGGGCAATTGGGGGCGTCAGTGGTGTAAAAACTGACTAAAACAAATGTAAAAAATGCATTCCTAATTGATAAATAAGTTTTCCAGCGAATTAAATAATAAGGTATATCCCGGGGATACCCAGCATAGTAGATACTACTTTGTACAATTGTTATGAACAAGCACACTCTTGCTCCCCCTCTTGTTCAAACAAACAATTACAGACACACAGGGTGTGTTCTTGGCTTGTCAAAAGCCCTGGCCTCTCTCCCAGACCCTGAACTGCACCCCAGCAATTACTGCTCCAGCCAAAATGGTCAGAGCACTGCATGTGTAGCCTCCTGCTATTGATTTCACACACCTACAATCACCCAGTGTGGGATTCAGTTGGTTTGTGCAACAAAGGCTAAAAATCTAATGGCCATGTGCATCACACGCAGTACTCAAGGATACACAAGAGTTGCCAGTCTGGTAATTGTAAATAGGACTACAGGAAGATATATACTAATGAGGTCTAGACTGTTTCTGTTATGTCAGGGGGAAGAAAAAACATTTTCCATTTGGCCAAAAATGGCCACGGGCCATGGAGAAGTCATGCAGCATAATGATAATTTTGAATACCCAACTCATATAATATAGAGTGGGAATCAAAACACTTTGACTGGATCGATAAAAACAGAATGGTGGAATAGTTGGACTGTGACCTATTTCTTTCAGATTAATATTTTTTAATCCTATGGTTTTGACTGCTGACCTACATGTGGTAGCTATATGAAATTCACTCACTGAAACAGTACACCAATCTCATCTTCTCTGAGAAAAGTCGAAAAACCCTTTAATCTGCAACATCAAAGGACATGTATGTGAACATATAGATATCAAAAAGTCGACCTTTATGCCGGCACCAGACCGTTAGTATTACAATCTCAACTACTTAATGAAAGTTATATAAGAGTCATCATGTAAACCGTCGTTCCCCACCAGAGGTCAGCAAGGGTATTACAGAAAATCCACCACATGACTTTCAAATATGATTATCAACATATATAGTAAAATAAAAATAAAAATATATATCGCATGTGAAACTAAACTTTATTGCTCCAATGGACAATGTGTAATCTGCACAGCTTAGTCAGGATTGTGTATGTTTTGTGTAAAGTACCTTTCTTTGAGGAAGTCCACCACTTTTCTGAAGTCGTCGGCACAGTACTCCCTCTTCATGTCCATCAGAACACTGTCTGAGGCCGACTGCACAGGAACATGGAGGAACGCATACACATGCGGGTGATTCAGGACCCTCGCCATTTCCTACAGATAAAATACATTTTAAAAAGGGACAGTATGTAATAGGCACTCCTGATGGTCTAATTAAGTTAATACCATTACAATCCCATTTTTGTGGCCTGAATGTTACTTTAAATTAAAATATCACAAACAGTCCCTTTAAATAAAGTCAGGAGAGGACATAAGGTTTATAAACAAAAAGTCATAACAAATAATTCATATTATATAAAGTACTGCATTTATAAGCTTTATATACATTTAATGCATACAAATAGGGCAAACAGTGAAAAGTTGAGCAAAAGTGGACGCATTCTCAGATAGAGTGCTGATGGTAAAAATCAGACAAGAAACGTCACAGGTAATGATTTTCCCAAATCTTTTTTGAGGTTTGGTGGAGTACACGGCAAAGGATAATGGTTGAAAAGCATTAAATAATGGCAGCTTCCATTAACATTCTAGTCTGCCTGCACTCTGCTCACCTTACACCTCTATTGAAAGACGGCAGCGCTCTTGTTTTATACTCTTTACAGAAAGCAACAGAGAAGAATTCACCACATCTCCACAAGGATTTATAGTACAAAGTGTCAAGGCTGGTGCAGTAGGGATTCTTTATGTCTGCAAAGTCGAGGGCTTGCAAAAAAGCTCACAAGTCCACGTTCATCATCAAGAAGGTGAAAAGAAAGAAATAGACAAAAGTTAAGTTCAATTACCTCCGTAGAAGAAGAGAATTGAAAAGAGAGGAGAATATGTCTTGGTTCAAATAGACAATCTCAAAGTAAAAAGAAAAAAGGTTCAAGGTTTGCAAACATTCTATACAGGTTGTCTTTTCTTTTATGAATATCCATTTTATATTGTTTTGTTTGTTCTTGGAACAACCATAATCACAACGTATACAGTATGTAGATCCTATTTAGGCACATTGTGGGTCATGACAAAGCATTATATTGATTGATTGGGTGTGTTTAAACAAGTACTGGAATCCTTATTTCCTTATGCCCATACATTTCCTTATGCCCAATTATGCCTACTACACTAACTGAATGACACAAATCTCATTAATAAGAACAATCACTCTTTTTAGTTTTTATCATTTTAATTTATTTGGGTGGTAAAAGAGCCAAAGGGAGCGCAGATGTCAGATTTTTGATGGACATAATCAGGATGCAATCATTACTATGCTAATCACCAGAAGTAGGAGAGCGAAAAGGAGAGGGGAGGAAGAAATGATTTAATGATTTCCTACAAGAATCTGCTGATTGCAGTCCGTCTTCTCAATTAAGATCTATTGTAGCGGGTTTCCTACTTCATATGCAGATACGTTTGTGGGCGCACACACACACACTGAGACAACGCTCGCTGCCAAGCGCCACAGGAGGTTGACCACTGGAAGATCCAAATTAGCAAGAATTAATGTGGTTGAAAAATGGAGGTTGATTGGTGACAGAAATCAGAGCAGAATATGTAGGAGAGAAGAGGGGGAAAAAGATGAAGCAAAACATACATTTTATTTTTTATTTTTTCAAAGTCCACAACTAGATGATTGATAGATAGTAGTATTAATTAGAATTTTTATTACTTCCTCTGTTGGCTAACACTATAGGGAATTTGAGCGAACAAATGGAGAATAAATATCAAAGCATGACATTGTAAAGAAAGCTTATTGATGATCGCTCCACAAACACTCCAACACAAGGAGACAAAGAAACACATTTATGACTAGTGAATTTATAGTTATTATTGTTAGTTTGTGACTATGTACGCCAGGTCGTCACAATAAAAATAACCAATATCGAATCCCAGTTGGTAGAATTAAAGCCTTGAGCCTCATATCTGGCAACATTGTACAATATATTAAACCCATTATTTACCAAGATGAAAATAAAAAAGAAAAGAAAATGACAATTTACAGTGTAAACAAAAAGTGAAATTATTGCAGCTAATATTTATTTAGCATTAGAAATGCAAGGGTTTCAAAGGTGCTGATTCTTTAAGTCAGCATCGAACAGCGTTTTAAAAATAAAACTTTATTAATTGCACTTTTATGGTCATTTGACATACACAGTACATGCAGAGTTAATCATTGAAATTCTAGTTTGATGAAGGCCATCAAGATCATTTGAATATTGATAATCATTTAAAATGTTGTTTTGAAGCAATGTAAAAAGCCATCAATCTTCTGTCGGTTTATCTATTATTATTGTCATGGCAACACCAAGACTAAAACAAATTATTTTGTTCATCTGTACATCTGAAAATTGAGATTGGATTCTCCATACAAAAATGTCTGGGATCTATATTGCCCACCACAATAACCATGGCAATATGATTTATCACCCTAGGATAAGCTTAATACCATCAATACGTAGGAGGAGATTCTATGGCTTTTTGTGTGAAAAGTAACAAAAAATTAAGAAATAAAGGGGTTTAAGGGAAACCAGCATGAATCATAATGGTCTACAGCCTGAACAGATCTATGTTGTTTGAACCTTCTTGCTGCAGAGCTTGTTGCCTATACTTCACTAAACTGTATAGAGCTCTAAAAGGGGATTTATAGTTCACTAGTCTGTACCACATAATGAGAAAACCCATGTCTATTTCCTCCTTCTTTAACAGGCACCCTGCATTGCGCACAAATGTCAAGTAGCCTTTAAAGTAATGCCTGGAATTACAGATAAACAGATAAATAATGTACAAGATTTTTCACTCACTTGCACTATTTATCATGTATGTATGTGACAACATTCTGCCCACCCACTAATGATCGCACACTACAGATATGAATCTCTGGTAACTGATCCCTGTGGAGCTCAGGCCCTTCTCTGTCTGTGGCAGTCTGAAGCATAAATGATGCTATAAGGGCGCGTGTATTGCTTAGCTAAAGGCTCGGTTTATTGCTCATATGAGGTAACCATCTCATTTGGACCAGTCACACCGGGGCACCACAAATCACTGCACATCCTTTGTAGTTGTATCCTTATTTGTCCTGAGAGTGCTTAAAGCTACACAATGTTGTTTGCACCATTCTTTGTGCCACTTTCTCTTTCCTCCCACCAGGCATCCGTGCGGTCGTATTCATGCAACACATGAGGCGCGCTCCTTTCATCTCTGGTTGATCAGCCCAGATAGACAAACGCACCACAGAGGATCTGAGTTAACTGGCTTAGCTCAAAGCATCTGATATGTACCCCCTCAAATCAGATAGGAACAAAAAGAACATATAAAAACAGAGTGCAGCCAGATAAAAGGAGGCGGACTCCCTTCGTACAAAGAGAAGAACTCTGCGTAGTTTGGGGATTTCATTTTGTGGGTTTAGGGGCTAGAAAACTTTTGGTAATTGTGGGGACGTTTTTTTTTGTTTTGTTTTTTTCACAAATTGATCATTTATTTTAGTCAGTTTAACCTCATGTCAAAGCATATCACGCACTTATTGATTTAGACTGCCGTTATCAACACCCAATGAATGGCAGAAGCGAACAAAGAAAGTGGACATTTAAGCAGATTCTACCAATTACCAATATAGGTAACAGAGGTCCACATGATATGTACACAAGCACTTACCAAGATATACTTAAAACTATTCCAGATTTTTTGAAAAGTAAAGTGCATCAGGGTTTGAATAAAAAAAAATAACAGAGGCGCATAATCAAGTAATTGTGAACACCAAAATGGCCAATCAGATGTGCCGATCGGACTTCACACACCATGCTCACACAAAAGACTAAATTGCCAAAAAAATTGATGAATTCCTGACTGTAGACCGGGAGCTGACTGAGTGCAGGGCCCCTTTCAAGCGTACTATGAACAACACTTCCGATTATCGAGAACATCTTTGCATAACAGCACATTTGTTTGCCGTTTGTCGAGAACACATATTCTAATTAGTTATATTTAATGAGGGTTCATTGTTTATCATAGCTAATTGTTATGGTTCCAGCTACCATCAGCGAGACTTGCATTTCACCTGAGAAACCAAAATAATTAACCAGTGCTAATTACAGTCACCTGTCTGCCACAAATAGGGCCATATCTATAGGGAGCACAGTTTTACTTACATTTAAATAGTATTTTATAGACGGTCATGGTAAAGCTCCCTAAAATGCAGTGGCATAATAACAAAATGTACACACAGATAGTAGAGTATTAGGAGGGTTATCCCAAGGGAGTCTACAGAGTAAATGATTGAACACGGTGGTCCCTGAATGATACGTCATGGCGGTGTGAGCGCATTTCTATTTGTGATAACTTTATTTGGAAAAACTGAGCTCCCGGGGGCATTGCAAACACTTTGGAGTTGCATTTGATTTTCCCTTGAGGGCAGAGCAGGCTCCAGCACAGCACATGGAGTCTATAGATCGCACAGAGGGAGAGATTACATTCCCTCTGCGCTACTGGAAAGTCCTATACCGCACAATGTGTAAATGGCTGTTATGGTTTGAAAGAAAAAAGGAATTATTAAGATTTGACAATGGAACGCATAAATAAAGTCCAAATTATGAACAGAAGAATATCATGATAAATAATTCAAATAAAAATGTATCCAAAAAGAATCATTTGAGGAAAAGAAATACTGAACATCACAAGATATCCAACTTGAAAACTGAATTTGCATCATAGTTACATCAACATGCAAAAAGCCATAATTTGGCACCCACAGCAAAACAAATTTCATTTATTTAAGTACAGCTTCTATAGATTATAACATGAACTCGATAAACCTCTGTCTGGTAAACGACATTGTCCTCATGTTAATTTAGAGCCAACTGAACAGTTTAGGGAAGCTTAGGAAATGCCAAGTCCTGTAGAGACTTTAAATGGCACAAGTGATGCATTTTGGTACAGACTGGGATGATCTCACAGGATGTTTAATGGACAACAGTTCTTTCATTCATCGGGCCCTGACTGATTGCTACATATGAGGAGGGTACTTTCACACCTCATTTACTGACTCTGCGGGCATGCTGTATTCAATCACACACCACTACACAGGTATATGTGCACTAAAGCACACTATATGATTGGATGGC